TTCACTGTTGATCATTTATCCTTTCAGAGCTGGTTGCTGGAGTCCCGAGGGGAGCACAGAACTTTGGCTATGTATGTACTGGACCCTCATTTTATCCTTTCTATAGTGAGAAGGCAATTAGACTATTTGAAAGGTTAAAAGCTACATTATATTTTCTGTCTCTTTAATAAAATACTTTTAAATCAGAGAAAACTGTCATTGACTTTCACCCTCAGTCTTACCTGGCTGGGTTGAAATGCCTTACTGGTTTAGACTTTAAATGGTAAGCACTTAGTACCTTCCTAAGTCTGTTTTCAGTAGTCAATTACAAGAATGCTTGGAGTGTGACTAGTATCTCTATACCCACCATGTTATCAGACCTGAGCTTACCCTTAGGATTAGCACATTTCACGTGCAAGGCTGTCTGCAGTGGGAAGGAGTCCAAGTTCAGATTATTCATACCCAGTGTTTACTTTCAGTGCTGTAAGTATATACACTGAGTACCAGATGCAAAGAATCATGATAGGAAGTTAGAAGTGAAAGGGGAAAACAATATGCATTTGTAGATACAGCTTTTACCTCACAGGAAAAAAAGTTTCACAACTAACCTGATTGGGAAAAATGATCCCAGCCACAGACATATTTTCTAGTTTTATGGACCCAAAATTCCTTGTATCTCTGGAACTTGTTATTAAAATTTTTCAGAAGAAAGATGGATGTGTATATATGTATATATGTATTTATGTATGTATGTATGTATATATTTCTTTATGTTTTAAGGTCATGTTTTCATGCCTAGGTACTGATTAGCTGATAGTCTGTGATTTGCTGCTGTTAAGTGTCCAGTAAGGAAGGAAAGTAGTCTTTTCCTTATTTTATTCATGGGGAACTTGAACCATAAAATCTCAGTAATTTGTTCAAGATCATACAGGAAAACTGTAGTGAGACAGAAAATAATTGTTTCTTCTTGGCCACTTGGACCATCCTGCAGTGTGACAAATGGTTTGCATTGACATCATGCTTTAGCACTCCATGTATGCTTGAAACTTTCCTTATTTTTCTGTTACCAGGTATCAATTATTAATTCTTCAGACTTGACCTTTATCCAGAACTTCACTGGTGAACAGGTAATGTCAAGCAACTATGTGATGAAATATTTTATCTCTAGAGGATATAGATTCATTAACATAGTTTCAGAAATATAAAAAATAATTTTTGGTATTAATTACCATAAAAACAAAGAGGATTATCAGTAAAACATTTTAAAATTGATATCTGATATGAAAGCATATCTGTTGTTTTTTATTTCCAGATGGCGTCTTATTTTGGGTACACAGTTGCAGTATCTGATGTTAACAATGATGGGTAGGTTACCAAATATATTCAGCTCCACTGAACACTCATAGAAGCAATGCCTGATATTTATTAATAAATGCAGGTTTTCAGGTGCTTCATACATCAAAATGCTTTTCTTGGCTTCTCTGCTTTTCTAATTTTAATTGTTCACATAGGCTTATCTTTGTGTAATCACAGGGGCACGAGTATTTGCAAGCCTAGTTCGGGTGAGTTTGTCTTTTGGAATATTTATTCATAGTAGTGTGTCAGAGTGGGAATGTCCGAAGTCTTAGGAAACAGATCCAGATAGAAAAACAGTGAATAAACACCACTAGCTACCACTGGGAAGAGATAGGTGAAAGTGAAAAGTTCATTCTTCCATTCTCAAAAGCAGGTAAGTTTTCTCACATTTGCAACATCCATAGCTTCACTTCTCAGTTTTAAAAGCCTTCCAGTATCATCAGCTTCTCTTTCCTCATTGCAGCACCTGTTGGTTGGCCATCCATTTTTATCATCCCGAGGACCAACAAGCGTCTATGTCCCATAGTTGTTACGGCAGGCATTCTGAGTGTCTGAGGGGGAACACTGCTCAGCTCCCAGGGTCATGCCTCAGACACTTGGGGATTTCAGGCGCTGTTGAGCAAAACACTTGTTAACTTTCAACTCATGTAAAATTGGATTAAATATTTTAGAAGAATAGGACTTTCGTGAGGTAATATTGATAGTAGCTTTTTAGCAAGGAGATAAAGATCCCTGAAGCTCAGAGCCTTGGAAGCACAAAGGTGAGCTAGGACTTAGAGATGTGGCATACTCTTGTCTATTGCGAAGGATCTCAGATGTATCTACCTCATATTTTTTTTCTTGTGATCATTTCTCAAACATACAGCATTAAATAATTTTTCTGGGCTAAATAATTGCTTCCTGTCATTGACTAGTAACCCTTTAAAGGGTGAGGGATACAAGAAAAGAGAAAAAATAAAAAGGTAGTAAAATGTTATTGCAGTTAGAAAACAAAACAACAAAAACCCCAGAAGTTTCAGTAGTTTCAGTGGTGGCTTCATTGTACTTAAATCTTTCCAGCTTTCTGAGATCAAATATTCATAGTAACACCACTTTTGAAAATTCATATTTTTATAATTGTATAGAGAGTCAGGATTAATTTTGTCCTACTAATGTATTACGAATGTAAATGAGTGGAGAAACATTAATCTAAGTTCCAATAGATACTCTTTAGACTTTCAGGGAACTTGCTATTTAACTTCTCACTGAACCTACTTATTTCCTTGGCAGGTTATTTCCTGTTAACCATAGGGTTACTTGGCAGGTCTCATATTTTCTGTGTACCTCTAAAACCACAGTTTATGTCAAAAATATAATCAAACTGTTGTTGAGGCCTGTGTGGTCTCCCAGTCTATATCTTAAAAGAAATCTAATGACTCTTCCTGAGATCCAAACATCCCACAGAAAACAAAACACAAAAAGCTCTACTTGATAAACATGTCTGATTAGATATGTAGTCTCTCTTTGCTGGTTTGCACATATAGTCAATTGAAATATTTATCTGAAGAGTAAAAGAGAGGGGAAAAAAAAGGCAAAAGGAAAATTAACACTTCAAATTCATTTAGGCTTTTTGCAGCTAAATATAAGAAGGTAGTGATAGCCTTACCAGTAGCAGAAACCTAATTAATTTATTTGCTGAAAAGATTAATAAAAGATTACTAGGAATGGTACTTTGCTGTAGACTGAACACATGGCTCAAAGATTTGGCTCATCATGGGAAAAAAGTTCTGTATACCTTCTACTCCAGCAGTTCTGCAGGTATTCTGGTGCAGTTTTATCTGTACCACATCAGGATTGCAGGCAGGACAGGGACACTGAGGATACTCTTTGAACTACTGTTCAGTTGCCTCCTGCTAATAATGAGAAATCCACAATGAAACTTAACAAATCAAGCTTTGCCATTAACTTACAGGCTACATTCTTAGTAAAGGGGGAAAAAGAGAACACTTTCAATTAGCCTGAAACAGTCCAATAAAAATAGTGAAATAAACTGTTTACTGGGTTTTTTTATTTGGCCTATATCAAAGCTTTCCAGAGTTATACTTTGACCTCTTGACATTTCCCATACTGCTTTTTATTACTCGGCAGGATACAAAGGAGTGGCACACAGTCTCAGCAGGTGGTCAGCTTTGTGCTTTTTAAAGATTTTTTTTTTCTTCAATCAGAAAGGAAGTCATACTGGCTGGTTACCTTTCTGTGTTGGAACAAAAATGAATATATAATTTATGTTAACTGTAACATCTTAATGCAGTAATGAAATAAATCCAACCAACCAGTTCAAAATACCACTGCAAACTGAACTGCACTTCATGATTTAGTATTAATGTCCAAGGGCTTTTGCTTTACTCTTATACTTTTTAAAAGGAATCACATCAACCTGAATTTGGCTCAAAACTCTCAATTTTGTAAACATAAACTCCTCAGTTCAAAAGACCAATCGAAATACCCTCCTTCACCAACAAAAATGCATAATACTAATCACATAGGTATTTAGAACACAAGTAAACACCCCCCCACACACCTCCTTGGCTGCTTGTTATCGAAATAATTAAACTGTAGAAGCTGGGAGGCAAAACTGACTGAAGTATGGCAAGAAGCAGTTGCTTGCTCATTTTATCCACTTGGAAAAGAATGAGAAATAAGTAAATAAGGATTAGGGAGGTTTGGGTAGCTGACGAATCCTTTCGTTTTAGCTGTAGCACAGTTCTGTGACAGATCAAAAAACCCCAAACTCTAAACACCAACGCCTAGAATTGCCTGAGGAAGAATTCCTTCTTGCAGAGGACTTGCTGAAGCGGCTGGCCTTGACCTACAGGGTTCAGCACTGGCAGAGAATGGAAAAATCAAGGGAGTAAGCAAAGAAAGGCTTTGGTGGGGGTGGTACATGCAAAGACCTGGAGGGAAGGCAAACCAAATGCTTGGGGTGTTCCAGGGAGCTCTGCTGCCCATAACCAATTTAGAAATAGGTCAGTGTATTAGATGACTGGTCTTCCTTCCATCTTTCCCTCAGTACATCAGATGATGAGCCGTCTTAGCTATTGGGTTCTGGTCCCTGCTCCCTGGACCATTCACGCATTTTTTACAGTCATTGTCATTTATTTTAGCAAAGTACAAATTTTCCTAGAAAAATAATCCAGCACTGTGCCCTTCTAGCTGAGATGCTGTGCTCTCTGCACAAGCTCCAGCTCCTGTCTCTTTGCTTTCTGTCTCAGCTCATGAATTTTGTGTTCTGGGATAGGCTTCTGCTTAGAGAATTTGAGGCCATGGTAGATAGTCTGCCTCTCTTTTCAGCATTTTAGGGGCTCTGGATATTGTTCTATGAACTACAAAGTTATCTGGGTATCTGTATATTTTACATCAATGTACTGGGAGCTTCCTGATTCACTGATCTGGTTCCTTACCACCTCTAAAAAAATAATCTTCCCTTAGTCTTACAATTGTTTATTTGTAGAATATTTGTGGGAGCCAAGCTCATCTTTTACTTTATGGTTTATACAGCACATAACTCCATGGGGTCCCATGGGAATATCTAGTAGTTGCTGATATTGCTACTGCGTAATGCTTTTAGTTCATGGCATACATAAAATAAGTTATTTTTAAAATAACATTTGTGATTGGATTTTGTTATTGCTATTGTTTCATGGCAACCACTTCAGCTGATATTCTGTCCCAAGCACAAATATCTTCCATTAGTAAAGGACTTCTGATGTTCGGTGTGAAAGGAAAATCCCTACCACAGATGTCAAGTCAGCACCTACTTCCTTCCTTTTAGTTATTCTTGCCATAGAGTAAAAATCTGACATAAAAAAGAACAGCTGTACCAAAGTGACATGACATTTTGAAATACGGTTTCCTTTATGGAAACATACTATAAAACTTGATAAAAAAAATAACATTTCTAGAAGTACTTTGTCACAACTTCTAAAATCTGTATGTTGTACAATATGATTACAAGGCTTCTAGCTGAGATATTCTGTGCTAAGTTCTGTGGTATGTATCTTAGAACCATAATATATACTTCTGGTAAAGTAGTAGCTGATCTAAATCATATAGATTTTTTTCTGGCAGGATTAGGAAAAACAATGTAGCGACTTTTACTAAATTGGTTTACTCATAGATAAAGCCTTTGGGAAAATGTTGATATTGGGAATATGATGAATTGGGAATAAAAGGTTTTCTATGAGTTTTACAAAGTTTGAACAAAGTTTCATTTTAGGGCAAGAGAATATGTTTTTCCAGATTAAAAATTCTGGTATCAAATAATGCTAGTTAATATGAATGATCAATATCCACTGAATGTAATGGGAATTATTTTATTAGTTTGCATGGGCTTGAGCAACCTTCAGCAGTTTTATACTCTCATTTCATATCTCAGAATAATCCATTAAAAATACTTCTGCTTGTTATGTTTCTATCAATCTCACTGATTTTATTCTTCAGTTTATTAAGGTCTTGCTTTTCCACTAAATAAATATCAATAACATGTTCTGAAACATGCCTATAGAGAACAACAACATGGAAAATATCCTTTGATTAGTCTGTATTCTTTGACTGATTCTTCTTGGAGTAGCAAAATGGACAGAAATTTTCTGTTATTTTCCCTCTAAGTATCATATTTTTGTGATTTGATGATATCCTTTCTCTTTAAAACTCCATACAACAAATTATGTGAGCACTGCAGCTATTCATGTACCTAATATTGAACAGAAGTGTTTTCAGAAATAAAGCTGTGGCTTTTTCTCCCAGCTTCTATTTGAATTAGTGATGAGGCATTCTCTGTTAATTAATGCTCTCCTTTTATTCCATGTATATTACTCAAAAACTGGCTGTAAAGTGGCAGGGATATTTTTTCTGTTGTTCGCTTACTGATGTATAAGTTGCAGAAACTAGATTTTATATTAAGATTTGTCTCTCACTAGCACTGTTAGCAGAACAGATCTACAGAATTTGTTCTGGTAACACAGATTCCCCATTAGTTAAATTGCTGACTTCGTGATTGTTAACTGCAAAGTCTGTTTTCAGTGTCTATTGTGAGCATAAATTGGAGTGCAAGAAATTCTGTTTAAACCTAAAAATAATTGGTTTTGCTGTGATGGTGATCAAACACTGGAAGCAGTTGCCCAGAGAATTTGTGGAGTCTCCATCCATGGAGATATTCATAATTGGACTGGGCATAGCTGTGGGCAGCCTTCCCTAATTGACCATGCTTTTAACAAGTGTTTGGACTAGAAATCTAGAATTGCCTTCTTTCCTCAGTTAGAATATGACTCTATTATAATTATCAGCTTCCACTTTTAGCAAATGCCTAAACTGTGTTGTTTGCACTCAACCTGTTAGTGACACTGTTTTTTGTTTGACTGTTCCAGTTTAGATGATATCTTAGTTGGTGCCCCTCTCTTTATGGAACGAGAATTTGAGAGCAAGCCTAAAGAAGTTGGGCAAGTTTATCTGTACCTGCAAGAAAGTGCATTCCTCTTCCGAGATCCACAAATTCTGACAGGCACAGAAGTGTTTGGTAGATTTGGCAGTGCAATCACACACCTTGGGGATCTCAATCAAGATGGATATAATGGTAATTTGTATTTAATGCAGTATATCTCTGTCTAACATTGAAATTAAAAATGGCTAAGCAGTGTCTGTGCAGTGGCTGAAAAAGGCCTTTTTACTTGTAACAGCCTTTGAAGGTCATGAGAATTTACACCAATGTTAATGAAATTGATATTGAGAGCCAAATCATGAAAAACTTCCCAATAAGAGGGCAATCATATTGACTACAGTGCTATTTTTACTAAATATTAGTATGTTCATTTGAATAAAAATATTGGTTTTTTGTTTTATGACTATAATTACATTTATTTACTTAGTTAAGCTGTTTGCACTTCTTTAAAAGCAAATGCTGGGAAGAGTCTGAGAATTGAATGAGGCTCAGTACATGGAGCATTTTGTCAACAATGAAAGAATTTGACAGGTACAGAAGTACTGTTTTGGAATCAGCCTTCCATTGGTACTTGGGCACCAAAAGAAACTTGCATAATGGGTCTTTTTTCAAATGGTTATAGCACATGCACACAACAAAATGTTCATGCAAGTTAACTGGGCAGCCTACATTCAAGAAAACAGTACAAGTAAAGTAACTGTTTAATCACCTGAGATGGCTGGGATGCCTTGAGCACCTAGAGTTAGCCTCCTAGATGTGGTCAGTAGCACCTTGTTTTTCCCTGCATGCATTTCCTTACTTCTTTTTTTCAGGATGTTAGAGATCTTCAAAGTAGGCATCTCTGCATCTAGAACAGCAAGAAGTTTTTCCTAGAGGAGCTATTTTGCGCAGTAGCCTTTAAGATAGTTGGCCCACAAAGGAAAAATCAATAGACTTGGCTCTTCCATAACTTGAGGGCTGTTTTTCACAGTGCTCTAGCCACTAGATTCTAGGGCAAGGTCCTCACTATGTGGTTGCTGTGCAAGGAAAAGTCATGTTGGGAGTCATAGGATTGTATTGGGGTTCAGCTTGCACAAAATATGAATACCATCCTGTGGGTAGAAACCATTGGATTGTGACTGCTGAGAATACCCTCACTGGCTTGTCCTGGAATACCACCATGGAGTTCAGACAGCTGAACTCCATGGTGGAGACTTCCTATTTTCTACCTGTGATCAATAGCAGATGCCCTCAGCTACTCTGAGCAGGGAATGGTAGTCTGCTCTCCAGAATTCAGATAAGGCAGGTAGGAGACTGCTGTTTTTCTCTGTCACTGTGTAAAGACTAAGAAGAATCTAGAGCCAAAGTCTTCTGCTTCATAACTGAAGATGCCAACCGTAGAGCATTGGTGCACTTCTGCCTTTAGTGTGAAGCTACAGTTTCCAGGTGCTCAATTTAAGTTTAATAAAGAAGTCCAGCATCAGCTTCTAGATCAGAATGTAAAAGTAAGAGTTGTAGATATGTATCCTCTAGTGTCTTCTATTGGCTAGCTCAGATAGTGTGGCTGTTGAATTTCAGTCTAGACAAATTACTGTCTCCACATCCCATGCATAGGAAGTAAGAAGAGCACTGTGAGTTCTGCTTCTTGGATATGGCACCTCATTTTTGAGGACTGAAGTGTTTAACTGTGTAGTGCCCAAGGCCTCCTGTTAAAATCCTGACCTGGTAATATTCCTATTTCTCAGTAAAATGACATCTTGGTATAAATGGAAACATGATATTCCATTGTTCTCTTTTGTATACTAAAGCAATGGATATTTAAGGGATGGAATTTTTTTGTCTATGTATATATTTTATCTGGAAAAAGAAAATTAGTTTTATCTAACAGCTGTTCCTTTTTAATTAGGTGATAGAGGAAATCAAGGAAAATTTGTGCCTGTTTAAAAATATTAAAGTAGAAGCAGGCATTCATTAGATCTTGGTTTATTGAAGCTAGTTAACTGCCCTGGAAATATGTAGAGGAATCCAGTGTGGACTGGCTATTTAGTATAATTCAATAACATCTTCAAAGGATTATTTTATAAGCTTTTGTCGTGAAACTTTGACACAGAAAAGACACTGCAAACATTTTTTATATTTGCCTTAAAACTAGAATGTGTACAGAAGTACAGAATGTTGAAGATCTTGCATGTTTGTAGTAGAAGCCGTTCGTGTCTATTTTCCTGCAGGGAGTTAATTTTTAATTGTGCCCATTCTTTTTTTCTTTTTTTTTTTTTTTTTGCACTGCAGACATTGCTATTGGCGCACCATTTGCAGGAGAAGACAGAAGAGGGAAAGTTCTCATTTACAATGGATACAGTAATGGGTTAAACACTAACCCTTCCCAGGTTCTCAATGGAGCCTGGGCCTCACAGTCCATGCCTTCGGGATTTGGCTTCACTCTGAGGGGAGACTCAGATGTAGACAAGAATGATTATCCAGGTAAGATTTTTCCATTAGAAATGGAATTTTATACTTCCATTCTCTGGAAAATGCATCATGCCTAAACTGCTCCTTTTGGAAGGCAGAGGTCAGAATAAAGAACAGACATTTTTGGACAGTTCTAGTTTGCTTTCCTGAGAGTTAAAATCAGACAAAAACAAATACTCCCTTTCCTGTCAAAAGACATGATCAGAAAGTCAAGAAAGGGCTTAAATAGTTGTATTAACATAAAACATGTGAAGTTTACAATAAAAAGCTTAACCCTTTCCCCCCACTTCCAGAAACTGAAAGGTCTCAGCTTATTGAACTTGTAAGGTCTCCTTCATCCTGGCATTCTTTCTTAATTAAAAACATGTTGTATTGTAAAACAAGGGATTGACTTGGTTGTGTTGCTAAGTTATTTTTTGCTGTCAGAAGAGACACTAAACTATATATAGTTAATGACTTTGATTGCATTACAAAAAAGCAGAGAGAATACAAATTGCTTAAAGGTAAATACTTTATCTGGACCTTTCCATCTCTGTTTTCATTTTGCTATATGGATTCCTCCTTTTTAGCTTAGCTTTGATTCTTCCTTATTGGCTTACCTAATAAATTAGGTATTACATTTATCAAGTTTGTAACACTAGTTAAGTTTCACAGAGAAGTATTTATTTTTTTAAGAAAATTTTTTGTAGCACCTAAGTAATCAGAGTGTGAGTGTGCTTGTGTTTACTCTCTCTCCTCTGGAAGCAAATATGTTCTATTTCTATTCATCACATTTCAGAAGCCTTAGCAAGGGTGTGCAGTAAAACATCATATTTTATTATTGTGAAAGGTTCATCTACAGTAAAATACTATTAGTCTGCGCTTCCCTGACTTACTATAAAATCACTTTTGTTAGGCTGGAGTTCTTAAAAGTTGTATTATTTCAAGAGTAAAAATTTTTCAAAAGGACAAAAATGGGATCTCTTTTACCTTTTTGTGATGGATTGTAAAAACCTTGGAAAGGGTGCCTTTCCAAAAGCAGAAGGGAATTTCTGAGAAGGGGTGTTTACAATAGAAATCACAGTTTTACAAACAGAAAAGCTGACCACAGAGTAATAAAGTGAGGCTATCACCAGACTGCAGTAAGAGGATTTTTTGCATTTGAGAGAAGAAAGGGCTTTTAAACACTGTTTTGATTTTTTGTATGCATATTGTTGATGTTACTATTAAAAGTCTTTCATTGTCCATGACTAATGAGGTTCTTTTGGACAACAGAGCTCTTTATTAAAGTTTCAGCATTTAAACATCTCTTCAAGTACACAGAAGGCCCCCCAGCAAAACCAAAGAAAACAGGATATTGCATTCCTGACATTTCTAAGATTGAAAAGATAGAGAGAAAGGAGAGATTTTTTGACTCACATAGGGAAGAAAGAAGAGTAGAAATCTCGCTGCTCTACTAGCATACTTTATATGGAGCATCTTTTCAGCTAACTTGTGGAAAGTTTGGGTAATGGGTCTTGATCTTTCTAAATATGTACTGAGGAACTACTGTAGTTGTGACATTTCTTGGAATTATTCTACTTGTCATTGTTGGCTCCACCATGCATCCTACTTCCAGAATTTGACATTGTGGTATTAGCTCACTGTGTGTTAGATGGTTTGGTTTTATTACATGAATTACTTGTTTTCCAAAAAAAAGCCAAAAAAACCCAAGCCCAAAACAGGCAAAAAACCACCACCCTGCATTTACTGTAACCAGCTTTTCCCTCCATCCCTCAGCTGAATATCTGTGTGAGCAGTGCAGAGTACTGGGGGGGATCTCTCAGAAAATGAGAAGAAAAAGACCTTACTAACAGTTAAGCCCCCCTTCCTTAATTTGCAAAGTCTTGAAGCACCAAAACAGAGCTGCAAAAAGAGCACAAACATGGTACAGTACTAGCACAAAAATAGCCTTCCTATGGGAAAAAGGGGGAAAAAACAAAGGAAATAATATGGGAAATGGGAGCACAGAACAAACATGCTAGGCAATGAAATAAGTAATCCTTCTTGTGTCAAAGAGCTTTTCTTCTTTACCTCCTGACGGAAATGCTGAAGGGCAACCCTTGTACAAGGAGGAAGCTGGAAGCTGGAAGGAATAAGACGTATGTTTTATTTTAGAGAAACTGAGTCTTGCTGACTACAGAAGGTCTAGAAAACTAACCTTTGATTCCATGCTTCCCAAACTACTGTTTGCATCTATAATTCAAAGAGGATTGTGAAAGATTAGGGAAAAATATAATAAAAATTTTAATTAAGGCTTTTTAATATGTGTATTTTATGAGAAGAAAAATGTAATAAAACCAAATTATGCTGACACATCACTCTCAGAAGCTCTGTTCCTATGGACTGAGCAATGAGAGCCAGCTGTAATGTCTGGCTGCAGGCATAAACATATATTGCCACTGTCTAAGGTGAGATTCTCCAAGCAATGAGCTCTTCCATGGCTAGACTTCAAGTGTTCGGGACTGACTTGTATAACTATAACGGATCTTGTATAATTTACTCTAGCCCTCGTGCCTAACACTGTTCATGAGTCAGGCATATGCCTGCTTGGATGTGAGAGGCTGAGAGATAGGAGTTACTCTTCCATTTCATTTTTAATTTACTGTATAGCATGTTCAAAGCTTTTAGAGGTTCAGACCTTCTTTAGTTCTTCAGTTTGTGGTTTTGGACCAGGTCACTGACCTGGAGGCTAAACGATACAATGTGTTTTTATGGCTTCTTGTCATAAACCACTGAGGTTCATCCTGGGATCACAGTATTGAGCCCATGAACCAGTGCCCTTAGATTACAAGTTGAGGAATAAATACAGTTCCTAAAAAGTGAGGGTGGATCACAGTCGAATTTTTCTGCCATTGGACAAAGATTAAAGCCCCTCTTGGTTTGGAGTTCAATTCAGTCTGAACTGAACCTGTCGGCCTTCTGGAGAAGAGCAGGCATTTGGTACAGGAAGTGATATCTTCCTCTCTTCACCCAAATGTCGATATAAGCTCAGGGACAGAGAAGAAAAGAGGGAGTAGATGAAGGCTCTGTTGTACACAGTGCTGTTCAAATCCTCCAGCTTTCCTGTGGATGGAGTGGTTTCTCCTTCCTTCTCTTCCTACAACTCCTGACCAGTTGAGGAAGAGAGTCCCCTTCCTACTTCTTGCTCTTATTTAGGAAAAGAAGGGGAAGAGTCTCTTGTCCCCTGCGAGGCCAGTTCTATAATAAATATGGGAGAAAACAGACCACAAACAGGTTTAATGGTGGGGTAGCAGAGCAGGCAGGTAAGAACATAATACAGCCATACTGATACAGATGAAAGATCTGTCCAGCACTGTAGCATGTTTCCAGCAGTGGCCAACAGCAGATATTCAGGGAAACATACAGTTATTGTGATATTTCCCAGAATATTCATCCACTATTAATCAACTGGAGGATCAAGGTGGCCCCGAGTCCAGAGGCGGTGTCGCCAAATTTAGGAGCCCTTGACAGGCTTTTCTTCTAATAATTTGACCAATTCGTGTTAGAACTCATGTAAACTTCTGACACATGCGACGTGTCAAGGGACCCCACACCTTGTTGAATGTTTTGTGAAGAAATAATTCCTTTCACTGTGTCCTATTCAAGTCTTGAACATTCCATTGGACAGTTTCTGGGGGTGTGCCTTAGTTCTTATAGTGAAGAGACAGTAAATAATTCTTTAGTTCACTCTTATTTTACGTACTTCTGCCATATTCCCTCCCTCAGCCATGTGTTTTACCAGTCCTGTGAAAGGAACCTTAATTTATTTAATGTTTCCTTGTGCAATGGAAAATGGCACACCAGTCCTGCTGTACCAGATGACGGTTCAGTCTTGCCACCACTGCTGCCTCTTCTTCGTATGTAAAGAGTGGTTAGTGATATGTGACTTATATCTTGGTAAAATATTGCTTCTAATAAAGATTTTACCATTGACCTGGGTTTCAGACTTAACCAACATAAAAAAAGAGTTGTAACTTCCCTACTGAGAAGAAAATCAGAATTAGTACTTGACAAAACAGTAGTCCCAAATATTTTTCCTTGATATCAGTAATTATGTTTGTGCAAGAAAATTAAGTGAGCCAGGAACTGTGGTCTGGCCTTGAGGTTATATGGCACAGCACAGCTAACTATTCAGATGAAATCCTCCTGCCCACTTGCACAGGATGACCATATCCAAACTGCCTTTTGGGAAAGGTCTTTGGCCCAGGCTATTCCTCAGACCTTTCCTGGCTACTATCTGGAAGAGAATTAGCTTGGACTTGCTAAAATCACAGCTGAATCTGTACTAACAATATAAAAATATGGACAGTACCAACACAGTGCTCAAGTTCATGCCCTGACTTTTTTTTAATTATTTCACTTGTGTAGCCACTCACTGCACAAAGCACAGGATACAGACAGTTGAACATACCTGTTCAACATCGTACCTGAAAAAGGAACTTTCTCTGGTAGGGGCAGCATGCAGACAGGGCTGATTTTCCCTCTCATTAGCAGTCCTGTCAGTGTGATGACCATCTGTCTTCATTTGTCCTGGCACAGATGTTATCACTGTAAGAGTAACAGACCTTTACTCTCAGCATTATGAAAATACAGAGATTTTTCTAGCCTTTCAACAGGGAAGACTGAGTTTTTGTTACTAAGCACAACCTTTGGTTTACATCTCCACAGCTTTCCAGGGAAGGAGTTTGTAAATTGTGTCATACTTACAGACACTCCAGATGTTACGTGCCCAGAACTGTTCCTTTATCAACACACACAGGGGTGATAACATGGTAGTTGCTGCTTTGCAGGCTTGGAGGTAGTGGGAAACTTTCAACCCTGGGAAGCAGCAGAGGCAGAAAGCTGTGCTGATCATCCTAACAGTTTTAATGACATGCAGCGGCTCTCTCTCTGTGTTGATGTTCATCACCTTCAGCCCCAAATAGAGTGCTCTTCCTTGCCTAGCAGGATTGCAGTGCCAAACAGTGGTGATGGTGGCAATGAATGGATGGATGCTCCCATCTTTGCAGTCATGTAAGAGTTAGAAGGTAAAGACCAATTAATCCTCTTAAGTTACATCTACACTAGTAAATGAAATATGCTGTCTTTGGTTCTGAACTGTCACTGAACACTCCTTGTCCATACTGTCAAACTCACTTTTTTGCCAAAGCAGGGTTACTGTGTGCTCCCTTTTGGAGACTAATAATTGTCATAGGCCAACTGCTTTAGGGCCATTCTAATGATACCACTGCCAACAGTAGAGGTACAGCACACAGGCACGTTCTCTGCCACTAATTTACTAACACTGACATAATTGTAACATTTTTCAACAGATGATCAATTTTACTGTTTTCTGACAGCCCATGTTTTAAGGTCATATTCAAAGAATGGAATCTGATCTCACTTCTTCTTCCATAGTAAATGTTAACTTAACACCATTACTCTGGATTGACAGTCAAGTAAAAAGAATAAATGGGATTAAAGAAATAAAGGAGGTGAATGGAGTGAAAAAGTGCAAAAGATGGGCTTTTACCAAATACAGTGGTAGCTGGAATTCTGTGTGAGATTCCATGCTGCGGTTTTCAGTGCTGAGGTTAGGACATGGCAAAGCATCACTGTGCTGTGCCTGAGGTTGTACTGGTGAGGTCCATAACATACTTCATATAACCATGGGATTCCCTGTGACAGAGCTCTTCAAGGTTTGCTTGAAGGTGTTCTAAAATCCCTGCCTCAGCACAGTCTTCCTGGCTCTCTTTTCCTCTGTGACATGTGAACCCCATAATGGTAATTTTTCAAGACAGCTTCCACTCTTCTGTAATTCTGGGACTTTTAGGGCCCCTTTGCTCGATCCTGAGCTTTATGTGTGTCATCAAGGCCTAGAGCAGGGAATGAAGCAAAGGCATGCATTTTGCATTATAATTTATTTTATTTATAATTTTGTTTGTCTTTTTCTATTAGCACAGTTCAATTTTCATAGGAACCAAAGAAATCCATAAATCTCTTTAATGGGAATGAAATTTGTTTCTTTTGGCTTCTGGGCATCCGTTCAAAGCTGGTCCCCACTGAGTGCTTGGAGCCTGTGATTATCTAGGTGATGGTGCCGCACTTCCAGCTGGTTCCTCTATCTGTGCACGGCTCAGGCATTTGGAGGCTGTAAGGTTTCCACCCTCACATTTCAGCATGTGTTCAGTCACTTGATGGCTGATTATAGCTGAGCAAATAGTTTATAATGAAAAACTTACTCATTAAACTTACTTTCTTCTTGTGGCGTATCCTCCCGAAGACTGTGGTTTCTTCAAATGTGTTTGTGAACCAGGATGATTTATCCAGTTTCTTTTAACCGTGTGGGTGGATTCAGAACAGTGCTCTGGATGAAATCATTGTTCAAAGACTGTTGATTCGTTAGTTAATTGCTCAAATAAATTATGCACTATTGTTTCTGCTCCCTAGCTGTTTAGATGCTTGTGTAACTCTTCTTTAATAATTTAGAGAGTCATTCTGGAGTCAGTGCCACTGAAGCTTCATCTTCAAGGTGTCCTGCTTTACTCCAAACACAATTGTTGGCCTGTTCTTTTGGTTGTTCCTTTTAGTCAAGCCTTTGTCAGCATAGTGTAAGGCATCTTCATGCCTTGTTATTTTGGATTCAGTTATTAGCTTAAGAAAATCATGTAGTTAATATAAACAGATTACTCTAGAAATGTTTTAAGAAGTAGAGAAGTGTGATAATCAGACAGAATTTCCTCAGAACTTCAGTAATCCAGTCTAATCTTATTAAAATAGGAGTATTTAACAGCTCCATCTGCTGAGTACATTAACTCAAGCGGCAGGAAGAAAATCCTCAAGTTTCTTTCTTAGAGGCAAGTGTTCTTCAGATTCATAAATTTTGTTGTGAACAATAGGCATTGTGCCAACAATATCACAAATCGGAATCTAGTCATGATTAAATTAT